GTGCTACAAAAGAGGGCCCTATGTTATCTTTGTAAAAAAGGCTGTAGAGAAACCTGACGACCGCTTTTTGAACAGGAGGAAATATTAACGGTGCCCTGCATTTTTATTCTTGAGTAAGTTTCTCTGATGTATAAAAAGTTTTCTTGTTTTGTACAAGACAGGAACTACAGTCTAAGGCAGAACTACCTACCCCTGCCAATACCAAAGCTTTCCCTTACAAAAAACTCAATAATTTATCAAAGTGTAAAATTTTTTAACCGTCTTCCTCAAGACATTAAAGATGAAGACTGCTATGAGAGCATCCGTATGTCTGTGAAAAGCTATCTGGTTGCCAAGGCATATTATGGTCTACTTCATGAAGATTGAATGTGGTAGCTATACTGTTATACTTTATAAATAATTTAATAATAATAATAATAATAATAAGAATAATTTTATAAATAATGTCAGTTAATGTAAATGTTGTAATGTGTTTTAAACTATCAAACTGTTCTTGTGTTGTGTTTGTCGAGTTTGAATTAATTGAATTAATTTTAAGTATTAACTATAAGACATTCCTTTTTGCTTTGTCAATGAAATTGTAAAATTTTTAGGCAATAAAGATAATTTGAAATTATTTTGCATAGTCAATGTGGGTAAATCCAAACAGAAGCGATTGGAAAGTGGAAACACTGATCAAAATCATGGGTAAATATATTGCATTTCAAATTAGAGAATATGTCGTGTATTTTCGAAAAATTCTGGGGTAATTGACAACATCCAAACTGTCCAAAAAAAGTTTCTGCATTATGATATCGACTAACGCCCAAATGCACCGTAAAGACTTAATAAAAATTAGCTGCTAAAATCAGATTAGGACTTCTTTTTTATATGCAAATTTTCGAACTAAGCAAGATTAAACTCCCAAGTCCATACGGGTGTGAGTATTCCAAGAGATGAACAATATAGTAACATATTGGCTCTCTTAGAGACATCGTCACTGTAAAAAAGAATATTGTACTTTGATCTATGCACATTGTTCAGGGTTTTGAATGGTTTCATTGTTTCGCCGGCATTGTTGCAACTAATTAATTTTAAGATACCAACAAGACAAACTCTACAAAATATAACCTTTGGTGTAGCCTCTCATGTAACAAATTATTGTTTTTATTCACATTAATCTAGAATATGCAGAGAAACAAATAGGCTTCCACCTACTGTTGATTTTTTAAACTCCTCTTTCAATAAGTTTATGATAGATGTTAAGAATTACTTAAGCTGAATGTAATTGTAAATGGTCTTTGATCGTTAATAAATTATTAAATAATAATAAATTATTATTATTATTATTATTATCAAAATCCCATATTTCAAAAACTACAAGTATCATAAATGCAAATAAATGTAAGATAACGATCCAATATGCTCTTGAAAAATGCATTTCGCAATAACATAATAATAACATTTTTAATGCGCTAAACGTGCCTTGAATCGCGCAAATGACTAAAGCGTTTAACCACACTAATAATAAATAATAGTCATAGCGAGATAAGGTATTTCTAAAAATTTTGTAATTTTTCGTAATTGGAAATATGAATCACTCTAGAATAATAATTTAAAAGATGATTATGAAAATATTATGGTAATTAGAAATAGATTTTAAATTATAGGATCCACTGAACCTATACCAGCAGAGTAGCACATCATAGTGGAACTTTGATTGATTACACCATAAGCAATATCATAAACTCAGAAATTGCCATAAAATTTTTTGACATGAATATGGTTGACCACAAAATAGAGCTAAGTGAAATCAAAAAAAAGTACAAAAACTTCCCAAGATCACATGAGAATAGAATAACAGGGCCAGCAAATTGTTTATTTAGCCAATGGCAACTTTGACAGTGAATATCTTGAGAACTTCGATTTTCAAAAAAAAAATATGCACTTGTGATGAGAATCAAAATATGTAACTTTAAAACAAGGTAACACTCGACTCATCTTCCCTATCTAAAAAAGAGTGGTCAGTCATCTCACCCAGGGGGTGCACCTTAGTGAAATACCGATGGGGTCAAAAAGTTTTCCCTTTGAATACAAAATTGACGTTTTCGAGCGTTTTTTTTAAATCGGACTTGGAATTTCCATAAAACGGCTCTGTTTCGATGTTCGTGAAACACCCTGTATAACTTTTGGGGACTATATAGTGCTTCTCTTTCAAAGAAAATGCTTAAGTTTACTGGAAGTGAACAAATGCCTTGATACCTACTATATGTGGCTACAACTAATTATTTTTCTGGAAACATACAAGCTATATTACATTGACATCATTGTTTTAAGTGAAACCTTTTAAATTGATTCTATTAAAAACTCTAATTTCCTGAAGTATCAAAATTTTTATAACCAGGAAAAATACAATAAAAACGACTGAACAATAATATTAGTTTAAAGTCATATCAATGTTGATTTCTCATTCTTTGTTCTAGCAAACACTATAATTAGTTACAAGAATAAAATTTCAAATGCAAAACGTCTTTGGACTGACAACAAATCACCACCAATCTCAAAAGTAGATTTTGTGAATGAATTACATGCTTACCTAGAACCCTCAATAGAAACTTTAACCAGTCTCTATATTGAAATATTCACTGGGGACATTAATATAGACATCTTAAATGATAACGAACGACAACCAAGTTATAAACTCTATTGGAATGAATAATGTCATGGGTTTTCAAACATAATATTAATTCTGTAATAAGACTAGCCTTAAAAGCCTGCCTTCGATCATATTTTTGTTAAAAAAAAGTTAAGGGCAAATGAACTAAATTTTAAATCTTATGCTGTGGAAGAGGATATAGGTCAATATCGAGGTCAATGTGAGTAATTGGGACGTTATCATACATTTATATGCATTTATGTTACTTATGGTACTTGTAGATTTTGAAATATGGAATATTTTCAATTACCTCAGGATGTTTTGAAAATAACTGGCTCTTGGGGGTGATTGAAAACATGTAACTATTTTTCTTGGAATTTTGCCAACATATTAGAATATGGGTATTACAAATTTCTAGTCACAAACCAGTCAGAGTGTTTCTGATTGGTGTGAATCGCCAACAACTAGCTTTCTGACTTTTTTCACTCAATGAAATTTGCTCTGATAGATTTCTGTGAGGATAAGTTCCTTGTTTTTATGTATGTATTTATTTATTGTCTCAAAAAGGACTCAAAGATTCTCAAAAAAATATGTACCGTGCTGGTAAAACTAAAAAGTGAATGCAATTTTCTGCTTTACCAGCAGGATAAAGTTGACAATAACGTTACCAGTCGGTCCATAATTTGGTCGTTATCCAATTTCAAAAATTAGTGATTGTATAAACATGTCGTGAATCAAGCCCGAGATTAAACCTTTTATGATTAATAAATGAAATGAAATCATTTGAGTCATCAGACTAAAAAAATCACCACCAACCTTCTTTCAGTATGTGTAGAAAAATAATATAGAGACAGAAAAATTTAACACAATGGAAATAATGTGTTACCATTTTAATGATGTGGTTCAACTTTTCTTGATGAGAAGCGGCCCCTGTTTATCCAGGAGGAAATTCTTTCATTGACCTGTATTTTTATTTTACTGATGGTGGGCATGGTTCACAAAAAATATAGAGGATCAGATAAAAATAATGACACCAGGACAACAGCAACAATCTAAGTCCGTGCATCAACAAAGAACTCAATAATATATGAGACCATAGTGTCCTTTTTATTAGAAAGGTGAAGCACGTTCTGCTTTTGAAAGAGTATTATTCTCTGGAGGAATTTTATGGCGATAGGTTCTAGCTTTAGTGATTGTATGAATAATGACGTCTATAGTATAACTTGAAAAATATTTTAATCTGTCTTTTTGTTTGTCTGGTTTTTTTTTTAATTTGTATGCGCCATATATAAAGGCTTGACCGGATTGGTGAATGACATTTTAGGTAGCAGTTTCTGGTGGTTTTTATCTTTATCATTTTTTGGTATCTTAACATGTAACATTAGTTTTCAGTCAGTCCCCTTACACTGTTTTTGTATTATTTCCATTTTAGCTTTGTGAATAAGGGTCTTAAGGCTTTTTTGTACAATAAAGCATTTTTTGATTTGATTCAATGTTCGATTTTATCAATTACATTTGGAAAATAGGATTTGCCAGTGAAAAACCACTTTTCACTGGCAACTTAGGTACAAAAGTAAAAACAAACGGATCCTAGATAATCGATAGAAAATGTATATGCCAAATTTCACATTCAGGTTTTTTTCTACAAATCTGACCAATTTGAGCACGGCACTTGTACATTTATACCCAAAAACCAAGCCTGTTTTAAGTATTTAACCGACTACTTAGAGGCCAATACACAATCATCATTTTTGCCCCATTGCACTGCCAATTTTGCCCATATCATCAGTACTTATAGCAGCCCATATTTTTCACAAAATCTAATTCAATACATCAAAAATACATCTTAATGCAATGCCTACTATATTTTATGTGTTCTGTATTTAATAGTATCTCAAGTGTGTAAGATATTAATGAGGATTGATAGTCAAGAATTATTGTTGCTATACTTACTGAACAGTTAATTTTTCGCTCTTTTAAAGGTACTTATAAAACGACATGATTGTAATGTGTACAGAAAACTCTTTTTTTCTGTAATTGGGATTTTTTGGATCCAGAATTGTTAGAAAGAATCCAGAACCAGCAATGGGCCAAGGACAACAGAGGCCAGGAATGGATCAAAAGTGGTAGGTACTGTGAAAAAATATTCACAACTGAAATATATTGGGATTGTTCGAGGACCTGTAGTTAAGACACAATGGGTCCAATTAAGCTTATCCAAGCCTTGAATGTTACAAGTAAAATTTGATAAAAATACATTCATAGTTCGAATAAGCATAACTAAAAATCTTGACATTTTTATGAGAAATAACAAATAACTATATAAAATGAGCTAAGAATAAATTAGTTAATAAAAATATTTTACCTGATTTCTCAGCGTGAAACTCGACTTCTTCAGTTGTTTTGAACACTTTTCCACAATCATCACATATAACAGATCGAGCCACAGTCGCTGTTAGTTTGGTAGGTTCTTCGGGTCCCCTTTCTGGTTTTTCAAATTCCTTTTGTGGTTCTTCGGTTCGCCCAGTGATTTCGAATGGTGCAGCGGTTTCAGTTGGTGATAGTCTCGGTGCTAGTCTTCCCGGTAATGAAGTTGCTTGGGCTGCCTCACTAGCGAATGAAGCAGGAGCTGTGTCCAACTCTTCTTCATGGGACAGCATCCAGTCCATCACCAGTTGCAAATCCTTGCTCTTAGTTTTTTCAATTGCTAGTTCGCTGTTCGAAGTAAAAAATTAAGCCCCTAGTTTAGTTTATAGTAAAATTATTTTAAAACTTACATCCGCTGTTTGGGAAACCCCATTTCGAGTAAAGTAGTCACTAGATTTTCCATTTTTTAACGCCTACTTCCAATAGTTGTCAATTTCAAATAAAACTCGGAGGATTCTGAAATTTAACAGCCACTTTCTTCTATCTTCTATACCAGAATGATTAAGCGCCGCGGCCGAGCCGACAGCCAACAAGAAATGATGAAAGAGAGGGAGATTCTCAAGGATGGATTCTAGCCGGGCTCGGGAACAAACTCAATGTCAGACGTCAAACGGCGAAATGTCAATTTGTTGCAAGGGCTGCGTTCGAAAACATTTTTCATGCGGAAATTATTTATTAGGAGAGTAGAGAGTTCAAGTTGAATCCGTTGACGACAGTCTTGTACTTTGTCGTTGTGGATCTTTTTCTTGATCTCACACTATATTTTTAATCGAGTAAAATTCAGAAGCCAAACGGGACTGCATATTGCACACTTCACTGCAGCCGGATTACAAATTCACTAGTCGACACGAGTCGAACGTTTCGTATAGGCAATATCAACGTTATTCCGAGTCGCATCCTTCGACTTCGAGCAATTAGAATCCCTATCCTCGGAACTATTTTTATTTTTTTTTCTATTTTTTTAAAATCGTGAACACTGCCAAGCTTGACACTATTCCAACATTAGAGCAGGTGAAGGTAAAGAGGAGTAGTAACAGTAACATGGAGTTGGAAAATGAAGCCGTTTTTTTTTTCAGGTATTTTGGCACCAAAAAAATAGCGGTATAGGGGATTCAATGCTTTACCTGTATTTTGGTGCCAAATACCTGCCAAAAACTTGGCTTCACTTTAGTTTCATAGGCCGAATTGCGCGTTCCTACTCCTTATATCCGTAGGACAGCGCTTTACCTGCTCTAATGGCGATTTCCATTTATCAGCCAGTGCGAACTGAGTGTTTCCGCATCTTTTTCCAAAAGCATGTAACATGTAAGGATAAGGATACATTTTTTTTTGCACTGGTTCGACAAATGAAATCGCTATAAGATTCCAACAAAACGAGCCTAATAGCGCTTTCGAATTTTTCAAAATTGCACCCTATGGATCAAAAAGCTATCCGAAACGGATTTACATATTCGGCTAAAAACGGAGCATTGATCTCGGCGAGATTCACGTGTTAGAATTGAGCAATAGAACGCACTCAAATCTCGCACGGCGAGCTCTTTCTTGCTCCGTCAAAATCGAAGTATCAAAAGCCGCTTTCCAGTATGGGAGTATGACGGCCGGAGCTACTTGCAGCGTTGAGCTCCCGAGCTGTACGTACGCGTCAACCTGTCAGCTGTCACATCCGTGGCTGGCTATTTATTTATTTATTTCTTGTTATATCTCGGAATTGAACATTTTCGAGATATAGTTTTGATTCTCTTTCATTTTTGATAAATAAAAAAACAAACGTGTTTTGACAGTTAACTTAAAGTTAACTTTTTGAATTACATCTAATTTCGGAAGTTAACTTTAAGTTAACTCTCAAAGTAGTTTTATAATACCCGCCCTAAATGGTTTGAGTCGGGCTTGAGCACTCAGGTGCAACAAACACTTTTCGAAAGAAAAAAGCGCGTAACACCCCGGAGCTGTTCCGGAGCTCCTCCCAGATGTGAAAGGAATACAACTTCTGGGAGCAGTGAAGCCTAAAATGCCTATAGGTTTTTTCAAATGTGCGGAACTGTATTTTTATCAAGAAATGAAAGCGAGAATAAAAACAATTATCTACTGCGCGTAGAGCACTCATCTTAATGTCAGGAAAGTTGAGCGGCGTTGTATTCAGCCTTTTGACACGACAAATAAAATTTAGCAGAAGTTTCGTGAAAATATTAGTCTAGCCTAGTACTCATAACTGCGAAATTCGCACTTTTTTGACATTGCTTCGACAAATTGACGTTTTATGCGTGAATCAAACGTCAAATTGTCGAAGCAATGTCAAAAAAGTGCGAATTTCGCAGTTATGAGTATTAGGCTAACAGGAAAAGTTGACTACGAAATATTTCGGCATTAATTTCGTGAGTAATTTCGTGAAGAAACTTTGCCGTGTAAAGCCTAGTACTCATAACTGCGAAATTCGCATTTTTTTGACATTGCTTCGACAATTTGACGTTTGATACACGCATAAAACGTCAAATTGTCAACGCAATGTCAAAAAAATGCGAATTTCGCAGTTATGAGTACTAGGCTTAAAACGGCTCGAAGGAAAAGAATGCGCCTTTTATTTTGTAATTGTGTGCGTCGAAGCTCACGCCTTCTCCCAGCCGCGCCCACAAAAACTATAGAATATTTTCTAAAGTTTATTGGCGAAATATTTCGTAAGTTTTTCTTGTTAAAACAGGAAAAGTTGACTAGGAGGAAGCAACTCCCTTGTTCCGGAATCGGGTTCTAATGTACTTGGAGCAGTTACAAATAAATCTACGAGTAACTCTGAGGCACTCTGACTGAGTCACTCGCACAATTTAGGCGGCACCTTTTATATAAGGTGCATTTGACTCTCGGAGCTTAAGCCCCAGTTTTCTCCTGTGAAGCCTTACCACACTGCATTGGTTGGGGCTTTGTGTCTCAATGGGTGGTACATTCAGGTGGTTCCAGCGGCTGAGACTGCATATATACAGAACCCCAACTGAACGTAAAAGCTTTACGTCAGCGGCTGAGTGTTTTGCTCAGTGTAGAAAATTATCGTTTTGAAAAAGAGGATTGCGGTATTTGTCATTTTGGACAATAATGACTTTTGAACTAAAATAGGTCTGTTTCTGCAGAAATCACAAACCAGTCAGAGTGAATTTCGTTGGTTGAAACTAGCTTTCTGACTGTTTCTGACTGTTTTCAACTAATGAAATTCTCTCTGACTGGTTTGTGATTTCTGCAGAAACAGACCTATTATATAACCAGGCAACAAGGTACCAAGGATGATACACACCTACAGGATTGCTTATCGGCCTCGTTTTTGGTAATCGCCACCATATTGGTGTGTCACCGTTTGCGACGTCATAACTTAGTCGTCAGCTGTTTAAGCAGCCTACGTCAATGCAAGAAATAACATGCTGTCTACGTCACAACTGGCGATTTAGTGACGGGGGTGAGGGGGGATTTGTTCCACAAGTGCCTTATGAGGATAGACTATCCTGTAATAGAAGTGTGTATCATCCTTGACAAGATACTAGCGAATGGCGAATGCGAATATATTACAAATGAGTGTAATGAAAAAAAAAAATTAAGATATGATTTGGATTGTTTTTGACATTTGATCCGCTCTTGCAGCCACGCATTCAGCAGAAACGAAGCCCCCTGCTAAGTTGCTGAACGCCGCTGGCACCGCCCGAATGTACCCATTGTGATTGTCAATTCATGGAGGATATTTTGAAAAGCGTTCTTTTAGGAAGTTACTCTGAACGAATAGCCCCGGAGCTTGTGACTCTTGAAAAAGCACGAAGTCAGAACACCTTGCTAGAGGCGAGTTCGGTTACTTTCAATCCTACGCGAGCTAAAAGATGATATTGTTAGCAGAAGCTCACTTCATTTGAAGTTACAAAACCGGTCACATGGGGTTGTGATCTTCTTGCTCGAGGAGGATTAACCGAACTCCACTTTGGATACACTCTTCGATGCACGTGATCATCTACTTTCTACGTTCTACTGAATGAACAAAACATTTCGGAGCAAAATTAGTTCATCTCACGGTCGTTCTAATACTACAGAGGGCCGAGATTCTAAAATCACGATTCGACACACGACTCGACAACGATACCGGCCTTGTCGTGTCGAAAGGTATAATTCCAATGAGATTTCTAACCTAGAATCGTCGGAAAAATCGTCTCGATATCGAGTCGTATGTCGAATCGTGATTTTAGAATCCCCGACCAGGGGCCCAATTCTTGAAAAATATCGCATACGAAATTTGAAATGATTTCGAACGCTTCCCATTTAATTTACATTGCTGTCAGTCAAATTCGAATCAAGTTTCGTATGCGAAATTTTTCAAGAATTGGGGGCCAGGGCCCGAAATCCGAACCCACGAATCGATAGTATCGTCTATCATCGTACTTTTGCACGAATTTATTTGACTTTACACGATGCACTCCCAGTGGCTGCATTTGGGTTGACGCAGGGCGGAGCGAGCAGAGCGATCACGGGGTAACGTGACATAATGCAGAAAAAACTCGTGTAAAAGTACCTGACGATAGACGATACTAACAAATCATGGGTTCGGAATCCGGCCCGGAACATTCCAAGCAAATCTTTTTGGATTTTAAAAAGAGAGCCCCACGATTTCTCAGGTAAATATTAGCTCTGTTCCAACCGACATGAGAACCCTTCCAGAACCAGTAATTTCCACTTGCCCACCTATTTTTCAATAAGTTGAACGTTTATCCTACTTGACAAATAAATTGATCGACTGGAAATTACAGCATGTCCTTTCTCGCCTTGACGTAGGCTGGTTGCAAGGATAATACACACCTCTACTACAGGATAGCCTATCCTCGTAAGGCCAGTGTAGAACAAATCTGAAGCCCCCCCACTACGCCAAATCACCAGTTGCGACGTCGGCAGCATGTCGTTTTTCGCCTTGACGTAGGCTGTTTATAGTTGTATTCCTTTCAAGACTTTAAATTAAAATACTAGGGTTACTCGCTCCGGTGTTAGTCGACCCCGTTTTGGAAGGAAGAGATGCGCTGGTTTTCATGCATTTAAATGGTTTGATTCGGGCTTGAGCACTCAGGTGCAACAAACACTTTTCGAAAGGAATAAGCGCGTAACGCCCCGGAGCTGTTCCGGAGCTCCTCCTAGGTGTGAAAGAAATACATACACGTTATCTCTAACCTTGCGTTCGGTATTTTGCTCAAATAGCAGAGCGTGCTGGGCGGAGCCGTAATCACGTGACCAGCCAGCGAACAGAGCAGTGAAACGGTGTGTCCGAGTGTCTGAAATTTTATTAAACGAATGCAAATGAGCGTGCACCGAGTACACTTTTTAAAAGAATGAACGGTAAATTCAAGCTCGGAGAACTCAGATCAAAATACCGAACGCATGGTTAATAACTGAGGTTAATAACAATAAAAGGCATGTTCTAATTATTTATTTATTAATATTATATTCCTACGATCATATTAACTCAAATCAATAAAGACTGATCAAAAAATGTGCTGTGATTTTATTAGTTGCCGTTGGACCCATCGTCACAATCCGCCACAGCACTAACGGTCGTAGTTTAGAATTTACATTTATGATGGAAAATATTATTTAATTTTGATTAACATATAATAGGCAAAGAGGAAGATGAAAACGAGATTTAAAAAAGAGCTGAGAATGTTAATTATTGCAGTGAAACTAAGTAGGCATAAAGCAAAAGCCCGCGGAATCATGATGTTTAGTGCTAACAGCCTACGTCAAGGCGAGAAAGGACATGCTGTGTACGTCACAAATGATGATTTGGCGACGTGGGAGGAGGGCTTCAGATTTGTTCCAGACAGGCCTTATGAAGATAGGCTTTCCTGTAGTAGTAGTAGTGTGTATTATCCTTGGCCTGTTTGCACCACAGGTTATGATTCCGCAGGCTTTTGCTCCATGCATTCTTGGTTTTCTTTCATTAATTAACTTCAATAATAAACATAACAACTAAAAAACCAATTTTTAAGATCTTGTTTGCATCTTCCTATTTGCCTATTATGTTAATCAAAATTAAATAATCTTTTCCATCATAAATTTAAATTCCAAACTACGATCGCTGGCGCAAACAGCGGGCGTTGCTGACGACTTGTTAATGACGTCGGCAATGGTGATACACCAATATGGCTGTAGGAAATAATATTTTACGTAAGTTTTGTTTGGGGTTCTTCGACGTCAGATGCACTAGAAGCGAAAAAACGATTTTCGTGACATTTGACCTTCGATATCTCAAGACGCACAAGGGTAGGCATATTATGCGATTTTTTTGTGCTTCATAAGAACATCAAAACGAAGCTCTTTGCAAAAATTCAGCTTGTTCGGCCTCATTCCGCAGATGGAAGGTCCATTGGTCCATTGGTCTAATTTCCCTGGGGTAATTTATACCCATAATATAAAAGTCACGACATTCAGGTGAAAAAAAACGTATGGCGCTTTGAATATAAAACAACAGGAAGGAGCATAACCTCGAATCTGCGGGACCAAAATATGTGGAGGTTGCATATGGCCGACTAGGATTTCCGGTGTGGCAGTGACGTATATTTATTTAAATATGATTGTCAATATTATGACTCACTCTTTTCGCACTAATCCCAGTGCTTATTATCACTTAAAACCGCTAAAATCCATTAAACATCCACTTGAATGAGGACACAGCGAACCACCAAAACAAATGATGAGTCATACTTGGAGGCTCAATATGGCCGTTTCCGTCCCTTTGTTGTCTGTAGTGACAGATAGAAAACACTCCTTCCTGTAGTTTTAGGGCGAGTTCTCATGAGCGTAAGTTGACATTTCTGGCGTAATCACGTGATAATATGGTATAATTTGATTGGTAAAATCTCCAGCATGGCGAATATTTTACCAATAAAATCCAATCATTTTATCACGTGATTACGCCAGAAATGTCAACTTACGCTCATGAGAACTCGCCCTTATATTCAAAGGTATGGCGTAATCCTAACTGATTGACATTGGCAGAAAAATATAAAGGATGATTACCTTTATGAAACGAACAATGCTTATACAGCCATGTTTTTTCAAAAAAAAATTGTTACCGCTGTTTGAAATGTACCAAAAAAAGATAAACAAAAATGACGTCATTACAAATGAGTGTAATTCCGACATAAGGACAGCTCATCTATGGAAATTCTCTTGATGCATACACTATCACTACAAATTACGTCGACAAAAATTAGTTCTTTTGAATTGGGTATCATATACTTTCTTGCTAAAAATTATCCAGACCAAGAATATCAAAATAACAAAATAATGGTCTCTGAAAATATGCTTTCTAATATTATAGGTAATAAGTGAATACCTATATGCAATTTGTTTTTTACTTTAGTTCATAAGTTATATTGTAAGTATATTCAAGCGATAGTATAATAAATTATTCATTGAAAAGTATTCCATAAGCACCCAAGGCGAGTGCCATATCAGCTTGTTCCCAAAAACGATGATAGTTTATTTTTGGAGCCGGTCCACCATTCAAGTAGTTCTGTAGCTGCCACCAATTTGCATCACTTTTATACCAGGATCTGATGTCGAGGAAATTAGAAGAAGCATTGATCTTGTCACCGTTAGGATAGGTTCCCGTCCAGCCCGAAATTGGAATGTATACCTAAAAATAATAAACATTACCTTTTAAGATCCCCGGAATATGCGATTAAAGTCTATATGCTTGAACTGAGCAGATTATAACGAGCCGCAACGAATTCTACAGTACTTTATCAAGACTCAAGTTACCTACTTCTGATAACAAGGAGACACTCTCTCGCCCAAACTATCATTCATCCTTGTCCTAGAAGACATTTTTAAGAAATCGACGGAGCATACTTAAGCCATCTCAGATTTTGCTGATGACCATAATCTCAATAGCAAATTATCTCCAAGAAGAATTGCCAAAATTAAATGACGTATCTATCGGCAACTGTAGGCCTCAAAATGAACTACAGTAAACCAAAAGTGATGAGCCAGGAACAGACAAATATAACAATACAGAACCAGAGGATAGAAAACGTCGAACCCAAAGTGCGATGGAAAGAAACATGCTTGGAATGTCACTAAGGGACAAAATTCGAAGCCTCTGATGGCGGAAGGTCTGGAACACTTTCTATAATACATCGAAAAAAAAAACCTTTCGTATAAGTACCTACATACTTCATCAGGATTAATGAAACGCCAGGGATACCAATAACATTATAAATTCACATTTTTGAACTCTTTAGTAGGTATCTAAATGCTTACCTTATTATTGACTTGATTTAATGTTGAAACCGTACTAGTTACTGAAAGTCCAATAGAATCTCTGTTGAGGGACCACATAGTATCTAAAAGTTGTTTAGCTACGCTTTTAGCGCGACTATTTCCAGTTTTGGCAGCATAATAGCTGAGTGTACGTGCTATTGAGCTGACAATACCAACCTACGAAAAGAACAGTTATTATTTGGCTTACTCTACTCTCTTCATTTCGTAAACATAGGAATATACGGACTTTCACATTTAACTAGTTTTTAAGTAAATGTAAATGCTTTACCATATTTCCAGATCCAACTACAGAAGCATGCGCATCACTAGGAGTGTTTCCAGACCAGCTAAGAGTGACAGGTACCTTAATTTTTTTGGATGTAACGGTGATTTGTGTTAAAATCCAGTTTATCCATTTATCCAGAACTGATTTGGCAGTGGCATCGCCTAATTTTTAATTTTAATTCGCAATTATGTTTCTTCATATCTTCAAACTTACCTGTTAAATAATAGTATTGTGCAAGACGATCAACTGTCCATGTTTGCATACCAAACCAGTCGCTAGCTCCCTGGTATCCAGGCTGAGATTCATACCACATTCCATGGAAAGTATTTGTCTGGAATAGTGGAAAAGCGTACAAATTCAATTTCTTTACCATATTATTAACTATATCTTCCTAATTACACTACACACAAACAAAACTAATATACCTATTTAGCAATAACCACAAATTTGGGATACAAAAAATATCTTATTAGGTTTTCAGTGATTTTTAGTAGCTTATAAGATCGGTTAAGGCTGTAATTATTCTTACTATTTCTTTATTTCTGGTTGCCGGTTGGAATTTCCTTTTTAGTGGTGTAACCAGCTTGTTTGCCATATTTTATTAAGTACCTATTATTTATTGAGAAAAACTGTTTTAATGGCTGTTTTGCATACGTATTGCTCATTCTATTTAGTCAATATTTTAGGAATATTCATATTTTATTGACCCAAGAAGGTACGGTAGCTAGCCTAACGAAACATTTTCCTATTGCTGATTTTGAACTGTATATACACTCGTAAAAATGGAAGATAAAAAGTAATGAATGCTACTCTTCTAAATCAAATTGAGATGTACAGTAATTTTTCTCACGAAAACTTAATGCTTTTCCTCTTCTGGCGTAAAGCCACACTTAACATAATAAATTGCTAGATCATTTGGTACCTTAGGTACCTATTAACTTAACGTAACTACTAATGGGAATTAAAATGAATTATTGTTAAAAATTACCTTAACAGCAGCTGGTGGATCTTCATAATTGGAGTTCCACGAGTTTGTGACTCCTCCGCCTAGAGGCCCTTCAGAGGTTTGAACCCATTTGTAAAATTCCAGTTGTCGTTGTAGCGAATTTTGCCAGTCTTCAACTGCTGATGCGCTGTTTGATCTTAAAGAAAAAAGAGTTTTCGGATACAGAAAATGTTTTTTTTTCAATATTCCATGTATACAGGGTGTCCACTTAGTGCGATATCGGACGATATCTCCTTACAGGGTTATGCAAGAAAAAAACATTAAATTACAAAGTTGTTTGATACTCTAATATGCATTAGTTAAAAATATTTTTGAATATACAGGGTGCTCCGTTTATGGGGTATGCAACAGAACTTTGTTTTTTTTAGATGGAACACCCTACATGTGATTGCATATTTGGATTCTACGTAAAATTCTGAGCAGATTCCATGTAACATACCCTATACCTAAAGTTCGACTGCTTTGGAAATATTGACAGTTGAAAATTCACTTTTTGCAACTTTGACAGGCTATAGAACCTAAACGGTTAATTCTAGACGAAAACCGATTTTAAATTCCTGTCTTAGATTTTAATAAACTATCATCTGACACCAACTTTGAATCTAATCCATGACTAAAAATTCCAGTTAAATTTAATTTCCGGTTAAATATTAAATATTAAATATTGCGACTTCCAAATAAGCATATTTTCCGAAAGCACATACTGAACCATAGTTAGTTAAAATGTAAAAATTCATTATCAAACAAGAATAAAATTTCTAGGAAGGCGTCCTAGAATTTTTATTATATTTTTAATAATGAATTGAAAATAATCGGGATGGAGATGAAACTTCTTCATACATGTTTTAAAATGGACAAAAGGATCGCTTTATATTTCTAGAGGCTCAGTGCAAATATGTTTTTTTTTTTGTGTGTCTATAGTCATCATCATCATCATCATCACAACGTTCTGCATCCCCACTGCTGAACATAGAGAACATCTCAAATTGTTTTCCAGGTATCCCTTTTCTGTTCTAGGCAATCCAGTTTGTCTTGATCCTCTTTAGGCAGGTCACCATTCCATCAAGTAGGAATGTCTTTGAAGCTTTCGCTTTCCCTCAATCTAGCAACATTTATCAGCTGGCTTTTGCTCTTACGGTACAAATGACCACCTTCAATGCCTAAGAACCTTGGTTGGTATTTACAGAGAATTCAGATTAACAGAGGTTTTATGAATCAGACACTGGATGTGTCTACTAAGGTAACTAATTTTTTTAGGTCAATACTTGATTTTAAGGTTCTAAAAAGTTTTTTTATCAGATTATTTCAACTTTTAGTGCTATTCAAAAAGTTATTTGGTAACTTCTTTTTTAGATTTTTACTATTTTTAACCTGCGCAATTTTCTGACTGAAAAAATACAAGATCCAAGAAAAAAATCAAATTTTTGATAAACTTTTTCATGAGCTATGATTCTAAATGCTCTTCAGGCATGCCACAGGTCCTAGTAAAGTCCATGTACCTATGCTTTTATGAACCTTCCAGAAAGAATTACATTCATTACATAACATTTTTCTTTTGAGGTGTGACAGTTACAGAAACCAAAATTTTCGTAAGCTACTTGTAACTGAGTTAGTTTGGTGTTGGACTTTGAGCATTTGGCTGTAAATGTTTTCAAGAACTCGATTTTCAAATGATTAGTTACTATTTTTTACCAATTAAAATTGCGTTTCACTGATATTCAGGACAACAATTCATGGTTTGATTATTTCTTTTTGGTATTTGGTGTCCCCTGGGGAGGCCGTCCGCCATAATAGGTTAGGATCCCATTTGTTGCACTAATACACTATTTACGGTAAGTGTAGCAGTTGGGCACTACCGAATGCCGGCGAGAAATGGTTGAATAATGATTTGCTGTTGGATGTCGGCTGCACAATGTGATTTCAAGTGGATTCAGATTCAGCCTAGCGGGGCTTAATAGAATAGCTGAATGCTCTCTAACTTCTCTAGGCCGAATTGTTTCTGTGTTTTTCAGATGAAGTGTTCTTGTTTAAAGAAGATTATTTCAGAAGAGGAACAGTGCAAGTATACTGTATGCTGAAGATAGGCTTTCTCAAGTTGTCATCGGATCATTCCATTAGGTAGGAAGAGTCTTCGCAGTTTTCTGGACCATCCGCACCCTTCAATCTAGCAATATGTCCGGCCTATTTTCATCAACCTAAGAAGCAAGCTAGCTATTTCACTCTGGATCCAGCACAAATGACCATGGAGCATGAATCAAAGATAACATTTTTTTCAGCTATGAAGTTACATGTGTATCAATTCCCGAAACAATTCATGATATGACCAAATCTTCCGGCATGGGGCCCCGGGGAGGCCTAATGCCATAGTTGTCCTGGATCCCTTTTGTTGCACTAATATACTAGTTACGGTAAATGAGCGACATAGAATATTTGTTAAAATGTAATTAGTATTAAAGTGATTTGAGTCTGTACTTGAAATTTGGAATTGTTACAAGAGATTTTTCTTGATTCAAACGAGAGCCAGAAGGGTCTCTCCTTTTGGAGCAATTTCCAAATTTCAGAGACAAAAATTAATGCTCGTTGTACAGGAATTCAGTTTCCAAGAGAAAGATGTTGAAGGAAGGTCATATTAAATATACTTGATTTTGTCTCTAGAATTTCATTTTGGAGGGTTAAAGAAAGGTCTACATGTATGAGTCGAATATTTTGTGACTTTATTACGAACTAAAGGAGCCTCTTAGAAATTCCAGAGATAAAAATCTAGTTGGGAAAAATTGCTTCCCATTGCTTAGCAAAGCTTTTAAGACCCAGAAGTGGGTGTTTTTGTTGTATTGTGTTTTATTTTGGAATTTGGAATTTGCGTTTTGAGTGATTAGGGCGAGAAATGCGTTTTACATCCGGAAGAAAGATTTTAGAAAAAGGTCATTTCGAATATGCTTGATATCGACTCTCGTAACTTTGAGGACTAGAAATTGATATATGAGGGAATTTTTTTGACTTTGTTAAATAGCATCTCAGAACAATTTTCATCCGAATTATAATATTATGAAAGATTATCTTGTATATGCATAACATGATTACAGTTTGTACAGCCTCAAGAGTGTCTAAAGTGTAGTTAAGTCTAACTAATACCAGTTCTTAGCAATGTCATCTTGGATAGCAAGTGAACGTAGAAAGGATATGCTTCTCTTTGAACATTTCACGTATTCGGGAGACACAGTTTTGAAAATTGGTGAAAATTCATGGAGATGTAGCCAAAAAAGATTGAAGTGTAAAGCTAGGGTTTATACCGTTGGCCCTAATAATTTGGTGTCAAGGATCTATGGCGTTCACAATCACGGGACAGCTGAACAGAAATCAAACCAGGAAATTGTCACAACCGCATGTAGACGAAAAGCAGAAGAAGATATATCTGAAAGGTCTTCTAAAATTATGTCGACCAATTTACCAACAACGTTGACAACAACCGATGTCAGTTATGTGAGAAAAAACATTTATAACTGTCGCCGATAAGTTCTACAAGGCCGGCTAACAAAGAATATGGAAGGAGTTCATGAAGCTGTGGGAAATTACTGTGAATCAAGATTGACAACCAAAGGTGAAGATTGTTTGTTTATTAACGATCCGGAAACTAATATAATAATTGTGTTCACATGTAAAAGTAACATTAGTGTTTTAACTGAAGTTGATGTATTTTATATGGATGGCACATTTTCATTTTGTACCAAGTTTTTTTCGCAATTTTTCACAATTCACGAACTCCAGAATGGCCACTATGTTCCATTAGTGTTTTGCTTGTTACCTAGTGAAACTGTTTAAGCTTACAGAAGTTGATTTGCATCGATAAAATGTAACATTAGTGAAAAATATGGCCTTACCTTAAAACCAAAGAAAATTTTTGTGGATTTTGAAAAAGCCATCCACAGCGCATTACTATGTGTTTGGTCTAGTGTTGAAATCAACGGTTGCCGATTTCACTTGCATCAGTCATGGTACAGAAAAATACAATCTTTAACTTCTGAATCAAATCAAAAACTGAAATTGGTAACTGGCTTCAAAATAGGTACTTTTGGGTAATTAAAGGAATATGCTAATTATTCCAGTATATCATAGACTCCATTTTTTTAAAATTTAATGGTTCTATTTCTATCCAATGAGGTTAAGATGAATAAATAGAGAATTGGAATATTGAGCATTGAATTTTAAATTATATAAGTACCTCAAATTGGGGTCATTTATAAGTGCATAAGCAGTTATAGGATTTTGGTAACCAATGTGCGCTTCTCCACTACACATTCTCCAAGCGTACCCATTTTGAGAATTGACAGCACCTCCCCATCCGATATACCACGAAATTAAGTAATGGGCACTTTCTTTCCCTGATGCTGCTGGGCAAGTGGAACCGCCAATACAATTACCGATCTATAGAAATGACATTTATTACAGTGTAAAAAATGTATGCGTCTTAGTTACTTGTTTAAAATGTTTGTCAAAGAATGCATATCTTAGGTAGTCGCCCAATCTTGCTGCTTTGGATAAAGTTGAAGAAATATCGGATATTTTACCCTTTTGGGTCGCCCATTGAGATGCCCAATAAGCGCCTAGGATAGCTCTTGCATCTGCATCAGGAGCAGCACTGTACTGCCAATTTGGTACTGATGAGTACCACTGAAATTTTAAGGAAAGGAGTAAAAAATATAGTTAAAAACATTATTAGGTCAACTTACCGAAAAACCAGTACTGCCGCCGTATTTAAATGAGTCACAGGTTGGGTAAGTGATCCCTGAAAATACAGTTCCTGCGCCGTTATTAACGAACGATGGCCCGGATGCTAAGGGACCACTCTCGCATTGCCCCTAAAATAATCGATATTGCAGATCAATATATAAAATTACAGATCAAACTGTTTTCTTCGGCTTTTCTTCTGGCATAAAATACTTAACTTACTTGTGTATTGCCGAATCCATATACATTGTCGACATCAGATAGCCAATGCATCACACGAACTCTATTGTCTCCATATGATGTTTTTAGTTCGTTACCTATCGGATCTTTACCTACAGTTATGCCTGACGTACTTCCTGGATTTGATGGATTGTATCTAGCATTCAAAAATTCATTATCGGTATTTTTGGAAAGTGGAGCATAATACATAATTATCAGTTGTTAATTACCTATTTAAAAATTTTACCTAAAAAAGTGCTACAATACCTAAACAGGGTGCTTTTGACATGTCATTTGCGGGAAAGGTTACACATTTCTACCTATTTCGGTGAAGTCCGAAGGGCAACTCTCAGTTTTCAAATAGATTGATTAATTTCTTTTATCTTAATCTATACGTGAGTTATATTACCAATAATCGACTCTCAAAGCGAGGATACTTAAATAACTTTTCAATATCCCAACTATTCGACTTTAAATATCGGAAGCAGGTACAAATCGTTAATATGAAGTTCCTGTCACTGAACGGCTAGACATTCGGTTTTGAAGTTAAAAGTGATTTTCACTTAAACCTCGAAGTCACGCAAAGGGGATTGTCACAAAGGTGAGCGTTGATCAGAAACGCCCTATTAATTGCAATTTTTAATAAATCATAAAATTTTACGACTTCAAATTTATAAGGCGGTGCTTTTTTGTAGAAATACTAAAGTTGCGACGAAAAAAATAACGATTTCATTCGAAAATCGAAAGGTGCCTCTCGTCGATAAGTCGGGGTGAGAGTTACTTCAATGAAAAATAAGTTCAACTGTAACCTTCCCTAGCTCAAATGACATGTCAAAATTAATTTTGAAAAATTAAGCCATCCTCTGGATATCGCATTGAAAAACTTTAATAACACCACTCTGTATTTACCAAGTAGGTAAACTATAAAACCGAGAATAAAAAGACCAACAACAAAACGAGTACAGTGCTGTACCTACAAGTAAAACTCCGACAAAAGAACAAAGATGAGGAAATAATGATGAGGAATAAAACCACATAAAGATTCTGTCAATGCCGAGTAACAAAGAACTGATTTCTCTCGAAAGCAATTAATCCAGGTGGACTTTCCTAGACTCCAAAGATACCTCGAATAGTTTCGATTTAAATCTGTCCTACAGAGTAGAAATTCTTGGTGAGATCTAGACATGACGGTAGAAAGGAGATAGTAGGACCTTTATAAGTGGAGATTTAAGAACTAGAAGATTTTCTAAAAAATCCATAGCCTCAGACCTCAATTTTCAATGTACATACCTCTATAAGCAAGGATTCATTTTAAGCTCTTGCTTGAAACTAGAAATAATATACAGAAGAAACAAAGTGGTCTTGTTGCTTGGAAAATTACATAAAAAAGGAAGGACAAAAATATGCTGTAGGCCACGAGCTAATACCATAATTTGGTAGCGGAAATATTGGAATCAAAGTCTAAGTATACTTACTTATATCTAAGAAACAAAAACACAAATGCTGTATAAATGTGGAAAAAACTCACCTGTCTTCGTTATATTGAGTTTCGGGAATCATATAATTTTCAATTACGTCCCATGCTTCATTAAATGGTTGGAAATCACCAGCGATTTCTCCATACATAGCTTTCAACCAAATGTTGTAACTGTAAACAAAGATTACAATTTAGTAAAAGCGATAAATATTTAAAATTACTGAACAGTGGCATATACCTATATGTCTCGTAAGTTACTCTAGTATTACTTTTATTGTTCCTATTGGTTTGATGCTCTAGGTCATATGTAATTCAGTATTTTCTTCTTGACTTCCGTGAGTACATACATTACTATTCTTATGTAGTCTCAAGATGAATAAAGGATTTGCAAAATAGCAATTCAACTAGAAGTTCAGAAAATCGCATTTTTGTAACTTCCCAATCAAAGGCTGAGAGTCTTCAGAAGGAGAGCGAGATCTCAGTTGTATGTACTCTACAGTCACGTTCCTTCAAGTCCTCTACAATATATCTTTTGGTTATTTTTCTTCTTGAATCGACACAGCTCTGACCTTTGATTCGGATATCTTATTGACCTAAGGCTTTGATTAGAGCTTCGCTGCTACTCGATTATTTGGTTATACGCATCATTCTCTCTACATCTATATTTCTAGCTTCATTTATGAAGTTTTCAGCCGCTAGTTGTTCTCGCATTCCTGCTGCTGCTTCCGGGTAGACCAAAATTACGTGACGACGAATGTTGATTTCAAATTCTTGTAAGCTTGGCAGCTTCGTGTTGTCGAGATCCTAGTTGTACCTGGCGTTGGAAGCTATAACGAATAGTCCCCAGTACATAGACCTTTGGATTTTGAAACTCATGTACACGCCAAACCTCCTGAGCAGCTTCATAACACCAAGTCGGATAATTTATTTCATATCTTCAACCTGGGCGACAAGAAATTTTCGCGCTAGCTCTTCGTGAAGTTTTCCTTCTGACGTCCCTAAGGAAGGTGATACATGTGCGTGTCATATTAATGCCAATCGACTGTCTTTTATATTAGGTACATTAACGATATCATATTTGTCGGACAAAAATCTTGTGGGTCTAAGGGGGTCCGATGCCCGATGTCCGATGCTGTGGTGTCGTGTTGCAAAATTCTGTTGCCTTTCGAGGTGTTCGATTTTGTCTATAACGCACAAACTACGCTAGTTATAAAGGTTATTAGTTATTACCTATAGCAGACAAAGTCCTGGGAGGGATAGGTATACTACACAAAACAAAAAAGTTTTGCACCGCCCTGTAATGTAACTACAGAATACTCATCGACAAATAAAAATATAGTTATCTTCAACTATGCAATGTGTCCATTACATTTACTAAAAAAGGTTTAGAATCTGAAATTGTTTACTACCTTTTTATTGATAATTTTTTAATTTAGATATCGCTGAATATATAAAATGAGATGAGATGGTGCAAATTTTTTTCTGTTGTGTATAATTATGAGATGAGGACAAATATTATAGGTATAGGTACCTACCCAATTTTTTTGAGGTGCCACGCCCAAAAATCGTTAAAATCACACATCTTGATGGCATATTCGCGCGCTTCTAATACTTTTATAGGACAAAAAATATATTTTTACCGAAAAATGAGGTAGTGCCATGGTTCCGTATGCCTGCGATGAGCCGCCAGTGTTTGGACTGCTCATTGAAACGAGAAGACGTTTTTAACTGAAATTATTTATTTTCCTCAGAAATCGACTTTCAAGAAACAAGTAACATATAGGTAACACAAAACACAAAACCAAACTAAAAAAGGTAATTTCAAAGGTGTGTAATACATACCTACATAAAAATGATTATTTTCCTAACAAGTGCGCATAGTGATACTTTCCCGCAGAACGACGCGAAGCGGAGTTCGGATAAACTTTCAGTGCGGAAAAGACATTTTGCGCAAGTGTTAGGACAATATTTTTTCTTAGAGTTTTTGAAAATTTGCTAAGCATCCAAAACTGGTAATTTTCTCTCTTAATTCAATGTGTCGTGTTTTCAATTATTTGTTTTTTCAGTGATCTTTATTTGCAGCAGTGGTTGTGCTAGCGAGGTTTACTAAAAATTTGTTGATATTTTTTTATGTGTCTTTTCAAATCAGTTTACTTAGCAACAAGTGCAGCATGATCTTCCCAAAATATTCTATCCATTTTTGCTTTCATTGTCATAGATCTTACTTTGTCCATTGGTATCTGATTAATTCTTTCCGCAACACCATTAAGCTGGGAAGTATATGGAGGAGTATAACTTACTGTCCAAGTTTTATGATGTGATACTCCAAAGGAATGGAAGTTGGTGGCTCCCCACGCCAATGGACACCTGACCTCACTACGTCACACCTGTTTTTGCTGGATTTTTCCTCCCCGCGTTCCGCTCCTCATACGGAAAGTGTCAAATTGAAAAAGCTAAACATTACCTGAATGCCTTTCTTGGAAGAAAAATATCATCAAGCCCTTCTTTTTGAATACCTATTTGTTTATCCAGAAACCCACAATAAAAGGTTGTTGCTCTGGGGGGGGGGTGGCGGGCGGGCAATTGCCCCCTTTGCCCCCTCCCCCTGTATACGCCACTGGGGTACCTACCTACCTAATACATTATCATAACTATTATGGGTGAAGAAAACCAATAAAATTAGAAATCATCGAACCTTTCTCGTATAATTTTTTTTTAAAAGCCGCTCCTGGGGGCCGAGTACCACTAAAGTAAATCAACACTGTTGAAATTTTGGTTGCCCTAGCTTGATATTGCCGAAACAAGGATTTTGACGAATTTGTTTAGTTCAACAGCCAATTGAATATTCATTGGTTTCGATAATCTATTAAAAGACATTTCAAGATTATACCTGTTTTGAATTTTTATGTCAGAAAACAAATAGGTAAGTACTTAGGTCTGATTCGAGGATATAAACATTTCAAGTGATTAAAAAATAACAAATCATCTTCAAAATATTTGTTCAAATTAGGTCATCGGTTTTGTTTTTTTTATCAAAATTTTTAAAAACCGACATTGTAATAGGTACTTATACAGTATGTCCGTAAAGTAACGGATAAATTCATTATTTTGAAAACGGTAGAATTTTTGAAAAATCGCTCAGACACGTCAAATTTCTTTTTTTGTTTGAAATATTTTCATATATTTGTTATTATACAGGGTGTCTCAAAAATAGCTCAGCGGCTATCAACTTTGTTTTTTCAAATGGATCACCTTGTATATTATGAAATTTATGGATTCTGCGGAAAATTTTTGACATATTTCTTGTACAATGAGGTATACCTATCTTCAACAGTTTCGGAAATATTGACAGCTGAAAATTGATTTTTTTGCAACTTTGACAGGCTGTAAAACCTGAACGGTTAATTTTAGAGGAAAATCGATTTTACATTTCTATCTTAGATTTTCATAAACTATCATTTGACACTAACTTTGAAATTGATACGTATGATTAAAAATTCCAGTTAAATTTAATCTCCGGGTAAATTAAGAGTTGGTGTCAAATGATAGTTTATGAAAATCTAAGATAGGAATGGAAAATCGGTTTTCCTGTAAAATTAACCGTTCAAGTTTTACAGCCTGTCAAAGTTGCAAAAAAATCAATTTTCAGCTGTCAATATTTCCGAAACAGTTGAAGATAGGTATACCCCATTGTACATGAAATATGTCAAAAATTTTCCGCAGAATCCATACATGTCATAATATACAGGGTGATCCATTTGAAAAAACAAAGTTGATAGCAGCTGAGCTATTTTTGAGACACCCTGTATATTAAAAAATATATCAAAAAATTTAAAACAAAAAAATAAAATTGACGTGTCTGAGCGATTTTTCAAAATTTCCACCGTTTTCAAAATAATGAATTTATCCGTTACTTTACGGACACAGTGTATTATTATGATTTGAGGATGGTCTATTTTTATAAATGTCGACGATTATGTTTTTTTTTTTTCAACCTAGGTAAATACAACTAAACTCTACAAAAATAAAAACACCGAGGACATTTTACAGCCTTAATGAGTAGGCAGGTATTGGATTTCAAAAAGAGTGATTTTTTTCACCTGGAAATATTTGAAAAAAAGAATATTCATTACCTCAAAGCTTCAGAATCGGTTTCATGTCCATAGTCAACACTTTCAACCATCATGGTCTCCACGCTATGGTATGGCACACCTTCTTTGGAATAATATCCGCTTTTAGAGGCAACTATTTGCTCATAGAGCTCTAGAAAACGATTTGTGTATACTCCTGCCATTGTGCAACTCACTAGGGCTGCCAAGAAGGCGGCAACATGGAAGAGCTTCATGTTGAAATCTAAAATAGGTACATAAATAATCATATATGAATTTATTCCGCGAAGTTACAATGTTGGTTAGATTAGGAAGAAGTTGGGCAATTTGACAACTTTTACATAAAATTTGTAGGATTGGGCTTTCTTTTTCCGATTTCGATTTTTTTTGAAAAAAAGTAATTTTTTGGATTTTAGCTTTTATTTATTTTTGACATATATCAGAAAATAGAAAACACTTTTCCATTATCACATTTTAGGCTAAACAAGGTGGCGTTCACATAGTTTCACTGTTTAGTCTGATTTCTCTTATTTTTTTTTAATACGGTCCTGTTATTTTTATTACAAAATTTGAAGCCATTTAAAATTCTGAATTCAACCGTTCCCCTGATCCTAATACTATCCCATCCTTATCTCGGACATACTGCAGTACATATATAAAATTATCGGTCCATAACGTTCTACGTCTTCCGATTTCCTATCTCCGCCAATCCAGGCCTCCTCCTCCAATCCTCTTCTCTTATTTCCACATCTACTTCGCACTTCTCCAGCCAGCTTCTTGTCGGTCTGCCGCTTCTTCTTCCCTCTGGCTTCCACTCAATGATCCGAACCCGAACCATATATTTGTTCGTCTTTGATATCATCTACTAAGTATAAGTTTCTCTAATTCTCTGGCTTGTTATTATTTGCTTTTTGACCTGCCTGCCGCTCTCCTCCCAAAGTCCATTTCAGTTGCTTCCAGCCTTTTTGCGGTTCAGTCCTTCAGTGGCCAGACCTCTGAATTATATGTGCTTATGACGATGGTATCGTACATCTAGTTTTGTTTGTTGGTGATATTTTGATCCCACAATTCTTGATTTAGTAGGGATATTGCCTTCCGTCCTTGTATATTTCTTCATGCGAGATTTTCATTCCCAAATATTTTGTACTCAATGCATTGTCCTATTTCTTTTGGGCTAGTCGATTTAATGTTTCGTTGTTCTCCTCCTATGGACATATATTCTGATATATTCTGTTTTGCATCAGATTCACTTGCAAACCACATTTCTCGTATTCCTCTATCAATTTAGGTTTCATGTGCCTACTTTAGGTCATCATAATCCTGTGCAATTAATAGATATTTGGTCACAGGCAAAGAGTAAATAGATAGTATTTATTGAGCGCTATTCCAATGTGTCTGCATTTCTTTGTCGACCCCTTGAGCGCTTGTTCTTAGTAAATTTTAAAAAATATTGGTGATAACCCGCATTCCTGTTTAGTCTTGGGTTTTGCGTGACTATATAGCGTTTTAACTGCCTTTATTAGGTCTAAGTTAATATTGGTATTTTCTAGTGATTTTATAGTTTGATATCATCATGTTTTCCTTTAGATCCACAAATAGTGAATTAAGTTCTTGGTCTACGCTAGTTTTTCTATCCCCTGGGTCAAACTAAAGTTGTCTACTGTTGATCTTCATGGTCTAAAACCGGCCTGTTCTTCTGCTCCACTATCTCTGTACTCGTTTGCAACTTTGATTTTTATATCCTCGGTGTTTTTCAGTCTAACTCTAAATAAAGTTACGATAATAGGAAGTTCTTGAATCGGAGTGCGAAAATTCTTAAATCGTGAAATCCAGTGAAGTTCCAACCGGCAAATTAATAATTTTCGATGTAAACAAAACAGTCTGAGATCATGGTCAAATGGCAATTCGTAAAATAGAGTTTTGAATCGCGAACTTGAAGTAGGTAAACAGAAATCGAGTATTAAATTGTACATTGTACACTAAGGTAAATACTTTTGTGGACTTAACTTGTGAACTTAATTCGTGGACTTAAATTGTGAACTTTAAACATTTGAACTATAACTTGTTATCCATCGCCTATTAGTAATATGCATTTATTGCTCGAATTATTTCGATGCTAGTACATCGTAAAAACTTTTAAATAATATAAAAGCAAAGTAGCGTTTGATAATAAATAGAGGACTTGATGAAATGTTTTTGAAATTGAAGATGCTATTCTAAGAGATAAGGTCTTAAGTCTTGGAGTAAGGAATGTTGTTCACCTCATTATATAAATAAAGATATATTACCCATTTAAAATGCAGAGGAATTTTGTACTTATTTCCACCCTTAGCAATTACGAGCTCTACCACTGTAGCTACCCTAGTAAAAATCTGTAACAAATTGGAAACCGGTCGCCAACAATCAACATCAAGGCTTCTGTTCTTTAAATTTTTTCGTATTAGTGTAAGGCTTCAAGTTGTACACTGTGAATAATTTCTAGTAGGTAGGTACCTATTTCTGTATTTCTAAGTTCCGGAAGTTCAGACTACCGTGTGTCCAATGTTTCAGGTTGTATTTGTTAGGCTCAATGTTGTGTTGTTTCTCCCAGGGCAATAGGTCTATTTTTTTAAGAAAAACAGAAACATTGAAATATCTCAGAAATATTGAGTTTTGCGGAAACCATGTTACAGTTAAATTTACTCCTGCCTCATCCCCTATCACATCTCCAAAGGAATGTATCGAATTACCAATAATCTTGTACATTTGTCATTCACCTTTTTTGTAAATAGAGCAAGTACTTTTAACAATACAAAACAAAATCAGGAAGGGAATTTTTATTAGGCTTTGCGAACCTGCCAATACCAAAAATGATTCCATGTGTTAATAAATGTCTGTATGCTTGAGACGGATTTATAATATTTTCTTGCATTTTTTGGGACTTAGGTACACCTCAATTGAAATTTTCAGCAGAAGCTTCATAATCTTAAGAATTACTACACTTTCTCTGATTAGGTGAAAATTTCAATTGAGGTGCAAGTGCCAAAACATGCAAGGTAATGTTCGATATGTTAAATTCTTAACTAGCAAATCGACACTCAGCCCTTGGTTGCTTCAATATGCAATAAGTAAATTTTAAGCCGCAACCTTTAATTTTTATGAAGACTTTTAAATACCTATTTACACACATAGGGTTCATGGTAAGATTGAGGAAAAGCGAAAAAGGATTTTAATACTCTTATAGCTTAAATAAAGTGTATTCAAGTTCATTTTAACTAGGTATACATTTAGTAAATTTAATGTGATTTGTACTCACCTTAATAAAACAGCGAAATTCTTATTATAAGTTTAATAAATACCAAATAAACCAGAAAGAAGGCGAAATTGGAAAAATCATTCGAGATAAATGGTAAATAATAACAAATTATAAAATAACACTAAAAAAGGGGGAAAATTTTAAGATCAAAAAATTGTTAGAGAACGGACCAACCACTGAAAAGAATAGTAACTTTTCGTTAATCTGAATCTTATTTGAATTATTTTTTTTTAATTTTGTTAGGTAATTTTTGTTTCTTTCGCTGAAATTACTATATTTGTTTTTTAACTTGTCTTGAATGCCGTAACAATGGGCGGAAGGTCAAAAAAGAAAATAAACAAACTATACTGATCAAATGTTTAGAAGCAATACAAATATAACTTACTCACAAAACACGGATAGATAGGTATATTTACTTCTATTACCTATATCTTAAGTCTTATATATATATAGTATACTTATTTTTTCATTCGTCTTATATCATTTGTACTTGAGTATTTTATTCACTTCTTAAATGTAAATTTAGGTATATCGTAATTATTACAAGGTATCTGAAGTATGTTTTGCAAAAGCCACTTACTTATCATATACCTACTTAAGATAAGTAGCAGCTGCGAGTTACATTGTAGCTACAAAGTCAAAATAATATGCTCTTCACGAATCCTATAGAACCTGCCGACGCAAGATGTTTCCCATCCAGGCCCGTAGCTAGAGGGGGGCCAGAGTGGGCAATGCCCACTCTGAAAGAAAAAGTTGCCCACTCTAGAGTAGACTAGAAAAAAATATATATTTAAAAAAAAAACATAAAATCACAAAGCAAATTATGTGATTTATGGGTCAATTCTGTGCACATCTGTAAGCAATTCTAAAATTTCTATAAGGATGGTAAATATTTCCAATGGAGTGTTTGGCAATTGATGCGTTTTGCAGTGTCTATAGGCTTACAGAAATTTATAGATTTGCTTACAGATGTGCACAGAATTGACCCGTTAATTTCAGTTTTCCCGTATAATATTATCAATGCTTTTATAAACTCTAATTATTTTGAAAAAGTTTACGCCTATTTACTGCGACCGTTTATAAAATCACAGTTTAGTTCATATTTTACCTTAATTAAGATGGGTGGCATTAATGACATTTGAAATCTGTTACTTCTGTGCTCTTATTGGTTGATTTTTTAAAATTCGTCTGCAAAGAGAAAAAAAACTCACATCAGAATTAGAATTGGCTCAAAATTGACAGAAACATTCTTTGATATACACTTTCCATTTCGAGAAAAACGCAAATTATCGAAAAACTAAAATATTCGGATTGTACATAATCCATCAAAGAATGTTTATGCCACTTTTGAGCCAATTCTGATGTGAGTTTTTCTTTCCCTTTGCAGACGAATTTTAAAAAATCCACATAGAACTGACAGATTTCAATGTCATTAGCGCCCCTTCAAGAGCGCTCTTATGTATTTTTATTATTTCTTTGTGTTTTGTTAAGCTTTTATATTTCATAATCAGTTATTATGTACTTTGAAAGTGAAGTTTTTGCACCTTGTCCGTGATTTTAAGTAATGCTAAAAAAAACAAAAATATGTTTGCCCCCTCTAAGTTTTCGGTTGCCCCCTCTGGAATCAAAAACTGGCTACAGGCCTGTTCCCATCGCCAGGCACGTGAGCTGAACTTGTACAAACTGTGCTTGTACCTTTTGAAAATGAACTTTTTTCGGTGATCGACGTAATTTGCGTTAGCAAAATATTTTCATTTTGTTTTGTTACGGGGGTGCTTAATGGTTAAGTGTCTTTAACAATAAGAGCCAACAAAAATAAAGAAAATCTCATCAAAATAGTTATTGTTTCATTTTTCAATCAAGTCCTAAATTCCACTAGTTAGACGTTAGACATGGCATTGAAGGAATGACCTACCTCTAAAACGGCCCCATACACTACGTTCTTTTTCGTCGGTTTTCATCGCAACGATGAAACACGTCGTTCGAAAACCGAAGTTTGTAGTAGAAAAACACGACGGTTTTCTACAGGGCCCCATACACTACGATGAAACACGACCGTTTTCATCGCCACGATAAAACACGTCGTTCTAAAACCGCAGTGTGTGGTAGAAAACCGTTCGTGTGTACGAAATGTTGAACCGTCGTGCCAAAAATCAAGCTCGGACTGAATTACTTCGATTTGTATTTGCATGAGGTAATAATAAGATACCTTTAAAAATTGAGGAAACTATATTTGACTTCAATCAAAATATGGATGATGCGCTCAGGCCTCTTATGAATCATACGGAGTTGAAAATTTAGGTTTTTCCTGAGTTGCGGAAGCCCCAAATACGAATTCGCAGCCCCCTATAGGGCTTGAGATAACAGATGGCTTTTAAACCCGTTTGTTGAACTTATTGATCAACGTTTGGTTGATCCTTCGTGCCCTTCAAATGTAATTAGTAGTTGGGTTGGTTAATATCTGAAAGCGTTGGACATATTTTGGGTTTGGGTCCCAAATTTAGCGTACCGCTTGAAAAGCATGAATTTCCAATTTTAAAATTTTTGAAGGACAATGAGAATATTGTGCAACAAAAACATAATCAGACTAAAAATGAGCTGAGGTGTGCCTCAACGAACGTTCTAACGGATTTTTTGCAAAGACCTCTCAAGTTTGACTATCAGTCCAAGGTTATTTTACATAATAAAAATCAACAAGAACCTTTTTAAAAAATCATCCGGATATGTTTGTATTGAATTCTGATTAGGGCAATGTCACAGTGATTGCGTATAAGAGTGACTATAATGGTAAAATGACTTCTATGGTTAGTGACACGGACATTTATGAGGTGTTAAAAAAGGATCCCACTAATATTATTCAAACTAGGTGCAACAATTTAGTTGACAAGCTTAGAGACTTTCAACAATAGATGACTCCACTTATAGAAACCTGAAAATTTACAATGCACAGCTACCAAGAATATACGGTTTATATAAGATTCATAAAAATAAAAAATTAAGACCAGTTGTACCTTGTATTCAGTCTCCCAGCTACTACATTGCAAAATGTATAACTGGGATCCTAAATAATTTTGATGCCTTTTTCAAATTTTCTCTAAAAGACTCGTTCCAAGTAATTAATACCATTAAACAATTTAAACTACCACCTGATTATGTTTTGATAAGTCTGGATGTCGTTAGTTTATTTACTAATATACCAAAAGACCTGGTAATTGATAATTTCTCATGGTTGGGAGCGTATTTGCAATTTCATTAGGATCCGTAAAAACATTTTTATAGAAATGGTGGAATCGTGTTTCGATGGGAGTTATTTTTTGTATAACGATATATACTACAAACAAGAAGCACGGCTATGGGCCATCAACATTAGCCCAATTCTCGCAAATATATAGTGATCGAACACGTCATTGATGAAGTAGTTAAAGACTTACCCTTCGCGTTTCCCCTAATTATTATTTACGTGGATGAAATGATTTTGGCTGTTCCAAAGAATGATATTCAAACAATTTTAAATAATTTCAACAATTTCTATGAAAAACTCAAATTTACTTGTGATACAGAGGTCAATAATCGCATCCCTTTTTTGGATATACTTTTAATTAGTACAACGGAACAGACTGTTTTGACTAGCGTGGTATGAAAAAGATGTTTCATCAGGTAGATAACTAAATTTCTATTCTGAACATCCTTTTAAACAGAAATTATACCAGTGTTGATGACTACAAAAAATAAGATTGCCAAATATAGGACTGGTCCATTTTTGAAAGACAATTCAAATAAATTTAAATCAAAATTGATCAACAATGATTACCCGGTAAGTTTCTGTAACACTCTTTTAAATACAAACGTCGAACGTAAGCAGAATTTATTACCAGTCCAGCCAAAGTCAATTTTTTTAAACTCCCATATATCCGCGGTCTATCATAAAAACTTAGAACACTTTTGACTACTGAAAGTCGAAAAATAGGTTGGGAACAATTGGGAACTTATACTATAAGTCAGTGAAGAATAAATTACCCTTAGAGTAGGTATAGGTCGAATCTAATATACAAAATTAAACGGGACAAGCTGCATGTCCTTATATTTGCGGGGTAATTATCACGTAGCGAAATAACATTCCATAGCTATTTAGTAGGTAATGTACCTAGGTATATTTTAGTTGGCACCTTTTAAATTCATATTGTACAGGGTGTCCCATTTAAGATGGTATTGGGGGTTATCTGCTAAACTTGTAGAGATAGATTTTTTTTGATTTCACTTTACTGGGCCAATTTTCTATGACGGATCGAATGCCGCAAACCGCAAGTCTCTATCTTGTACCGTTTTGGAGATACAGGGTGAAACTTGAAATTTCCACTTTTCAAGGGTTGTCATTATCTCGCGTAAGAAAAAAGATATCAAAAAGATGAAAATTGTATCTGACGCAGTTTTTTACGTAGATTTCATTGGCGTACTGGATTTTTTGTTTCGAGGTACCGTTCAAGAGATTTAACACAAACTTCATCTTTTTTAAATGACACCCTGTAAATTTTTCCATTTTTCGAATACGCATAAAATTACCTTTTCAATGATATATAATTTGTTTATATTCATTTGTGATTTGCCAATTTTATTAGGAACCTATTTAAAAAACTTTCCATAATAATCTTGCGAAATCACATTAAATATTTGGTTTTATTTTCTGGTTTAGTATGTAAAAACCTATAATTTTTTAATATGGAACACCCTGTAAGATAATAGTTTTTTGAATCATATATTTTTTCCCATTTCAACGATATAGGTATTCCACTTCCATTACCTCTGCTTTAACGTCAAGAAAAAAAAAATATATCTGATTGCAAGGAAAATTGGTGTCCCTTTGGATTAACCAGTACAGCAAATATCATAAAAGAGATAATTAAATATCTTACTAATGCTCGGTAACTGAATTTGATAGTCTAAATTATTTTGACAATACAGGTATTCTTTCGATCTGAACAAACTGACTGTAATCATATCAGGTTTGTTTATGAGGCGTCAAAAAAACAGTTAGGGCGAATGAAATCGTGGTAAAACCAGATGACAATTGTTTGAAACAAACCTCAAGTGGCTTCAATCAGTTGTTCAGATCGAAAGAATACCTGGATTAATATAGCATTTGATTTAGTGAAATCCGCGGAGATTTAGAATTATTATAATAGGAAATGATGACACAAAACAACAGCGTGTATTTGTCATTGATTTTTCATATTTTGTAATCTTCTTGAAAACAAATTGAATTTAAACACAAAACCCCTATAACTAACCAAACAAAAATGTATTAACATCAACAAATTGTAACTAGTAACAAATTTGAAAAACCAACGAAAACATAAATGGAAACGATGGATACTAACTATAAAAAAATTTGAAATTGACAGCAAGGATTTCCAGTTCAAACATTGCATCTTCTAACTGCATTCCTTGCATTCCGCACGTGGATCCTTGTG